GTAAGTTAAAAAACAGAGAGAGAGAGAAGTGAAAGATGGACACACTCCACTTGGATCTAGGGATGGATGGTCACTGGACCAGATCTTTCTGATTCCATTCATTGATCCATCAAATATTTATGGAGTACCTGCCACACTGCAGGCACTATGGTAAGTGTCATGGTTATAACAGCAAATAAGGTAGATGAATCTTGCCTTCATGAATCTTACGGTTTGTTGAGGAAGGCATACGTCAAACAACAGGAAGTTACAAAAAGGAGGTAAACCTAGGTCTTTAGAGGCCATGATCATGGCTTTGGGCGTCCTGGCTCCTCTCCCACTGTATCAGCAATGCCTGCACAGTAGGGACCATGGCTTGCATGCTAGGGGTGGCAGACTTAATGCCTGCTAGCTACCTGCATCAATGAATCTTAATTGGAAACACCAATTTAATGGTGGTCTATCTTTGTTCTTTTAGTTTCCTCCTCAGAAAACTAAATCTGAGGAACTTTATAGAGAAAACAGAAATGACAAAACTAAAATGAATCTAAGAATGGAAAATAATTGAAAATGGTCAAGACAGGAAACACCCAGAACCAGAGCAAAATGATAGTTTTTGAAATTCAAGTTATACGTGATTTGCTTGAGACTGAAGAAATTAATACAGAAGGGATTAAAGACATAATTAATGAATACATCCAGTGTTTCTAATGGATTTTATTTGACTGGAGCATTCGATTTTGATTGTTCTTTAGAATAAGAACTTTTTCATTGAGGAATGTGAGAGAACTCTGAATTTCACAGTGAGATCTTCTAAGCAGTTTGGAAAAATGCGCTGAAAAACCTGAATTTTGACTTGTGGCTATCTCAAAAGAAAACCTACTAGATGTTAAAAAAAAAAAAAAAAAAAAAAAGCAGCTGGAATTTTACTCTACTGATTAACAATAAGGCTAATTAATTCAAGAAGGACCAAGATTTTAGATTTATAAGCTGTGCTCAAATCTTTGGCTATTATACAGGATTTGATCACATCTTACAAGGATGCCATGAAACTGATCTGTTGCTGGATATCTGGATGCAGTACCCCATAACATCTAGATAGTTCAAAGGGTCATTTTAAGATAAAGAATTTCACCCAATTTAGTCTGGCCAAGGGCAAATCTATTTAAGAAAGAAATAGTGCCAGGCTTGGTGGCTCAGCCTGTAATCCTGCGCCTTTGGGAGGCTGAGGCGAGTGGATTGCCTGAGCCCACGGGTTTGAGACCTGCCTGGGGAACTTGGCGAGACCTCATCTCTACAATAAATTAAAAATTAGCCGGGTGTGGTAGTGCGCGCCTGTAGTTCCAGCTACTTGGAAGGCTGGGGTGGAAGGATCTCCAGAGCCCAGCAGGTCGAGGCTGCGGTGGCCGGGAGCAGCCACTGCACTCCAGTCTGGGCAACAGAGTGAGACTCCAACTAAAAAAAAAAAAAAAAAAGAAAGAAAGAAGTAGTATCCTGTAAGATATGAATGCTACCCGCCGACGATACTTCTATTCACCAGAAAGAGAGAGCAGCGATAACTGATATTTTGTGTCATTAATGAACTTGAGAAATATATTCTGTAGGCAACTTGAAAGAAAAGAAAGATTGTTGGTTTTTAGAAATAAAGTGGCGAAGGAACATCAAGAGGATATTTAAGGCGAAGGGACTGTAAGCAAACATGAATGCTGTATTGGGGGCAGCAAAGTAGAATTTGAACTATGCATTGAAAAGATGGAAAAGGGCTCTCAGTGGCAATAAAAACTACTTTCCAGCACAAATAGGATGCTTATGATAATTCCACTTTGTCTAGAATGAAAAAAATGGCAGCTGTATTTCCCCCAAAATTTGCTCAGCAAGTAGTTTAAAATCTCCAAAGATGATAAAGCCTTCTTCAATGAGTCAGAAAAGGAGAACAAACTTTATGAATTTATCAAGATTAACTGTTACATGATATTTACAAAACCATTCATGGTAATTTGGTTGCCTTTGAGGTGGGAAAAAGAGTTAATTTCATCTATAAAGAAGAAAAAGGAGGAGGAAAGCAAAAGAAATTAAAATTAAAATGGGAGGAACAATGAAGTGTCCACTAGTCTACTTGACCTTGCAATAGATATGTGTCCTTGCAAAAACAGCTTAGGCCTGTCAAAGATATCTTGAAGACAACTTTTCCGGTGGCTGATACTTAGTTCATATGACTCTCCAAGGTTCTTAAAACAGACTACTGACCTGAGTCCCTCGATGACTGTCTTAATTTGAAAGAGATGCTGGTAGATCTTTTGGGGACACCACGTTGTACAACTCCTGGGGGCACCATTGTACCTGAACAGAATCCCTTGGAATCATTCAAGATGGCAGTCCTGTAGCACCCACCCTTCCCACACAATTCCCTGAAGGTCAACAGGGAGTACCTTCAGGCTCTTTAGAGTGATAAGACATTAAAAGATCTGCCACTCCAGGCCTTCCAGGAAAGGGATGCAAGACCAGGGTCACAAGCCCCCCCCTAGATTCCTCCTCGCAGCAAAGTAATGTACTTGCCTCCACTTTGCACCTGAGGGCAAATGGCTTGGCCTGGTGTAGGAGGAGCTGGATATTCCCAGCCTGGGTGGAGTCACATCAGTCCTCTTGTTTCTTGAGGCTTTGGAGCCCAACGGGAGGAGCAGGAATCCCTTTGTGACACCGTCTCTCAAACTGAGCTTTTACTGTTAAGCAATCGGGCCTCAGACAAGTGACTTTTCATTGAAAACACATAATAAAGGAAAAATTTTACAGAAAAAAAACCCATAATTCCACTATCCTCTTCATTTTTAGTGTTAGCATAATGCTTTCAAGTCTTCTTTTCTTGTTTGCATACTTAGATATAAATTTTACTTAGTAGAAACTTACTGTTCATACCTACTGTATATGAAAATTTTAACAATCATATTTGTCTTTTTTCCCTTTTTTTTTAATTTTTATTTTAATGATGTGGGGTATAGTTCAGGGTTAGGTATACAAATGGTCATTGTACAGGTAAAGTTTGGGCCTCACTTTGGTCCCCACTTTGCCTGGTTTGAGATCAGGTTCCCTTATTGATGAAGTGTGTCTCCCCCCCGCCCCCCCACCCTCACCTGGCAGTTTCCACTACTGCCAATTCCTCTCTTATAGTATCATGATAGTTGTTCAGGGTCTGTTTATGACAACATGTGGTACTCAGTTCTTTGTTTCTGTGATAGATCACTGAGTATTATAGACTCTAAGTCCATCCAAGTTGATACGAAGTTAATAATTTTGTCCTTCTTTATGACTGTGTAATATTACATCACGTATATGTACCACTTTTTTTTTCTTTTTTCTTTTTGAGTTGGAGTCTCACTCTGTCACCCAGACTGGAGTGCAGTGGCCGCTCACGGCCACCGCAAGCTTCGGCCTGCTGGGCTCCGGCGATCCTTCCGCCTCAGCCTTCCATGTAGCCAGAATTACAGGCATGAGCTACCACACCCAGCTGATTTTTTGATTTGTTGTAGAGATGAGGTCTTGCTGCCCAGGCGGGTCTCGAACCCGCTGGCCCAGGCAATCCACTTACCTCAGCCTCCCAAAGGCGCGGGATTACAGGCTGAGCCACCGAGCCTGGCTCACATTTTTTTTTATTCAGTCCGCTTTTGATGGACAGCACAGCTGGTTCCGTGTTTTTGCTATTGTGAACAATGCTGCAATAAACATGCGTGTGCAGGTATCTTTTTCATAGAGTGATTTGAGTTCCTCCAGCTATATTCCCAGGAGGGGGATTGCTGGGTTGTATGGAAGGTCGATGTTTAGATCTTTTAGGAGTCACCACGTTGTTTTCCACAGAGGTTGTACTAGTTTACACTCTTTACACTCCTACCAACAGTGGAGAAGTGTTCCCTTTTCTCCGCATCCTCTCCAGCATCTGTTGTTTTTCGAGTTGTCTTGTTTTTAAAAGCACAAAATATTAATGGATAATACTGATGTAATCTTGAAAAGCATTTAAATAGAATTTCTGGTTTCTCTCATAAAATCGATATGGATGTTTGCTATTTGAAGCAATGGTCACTAGCCACACGTGGCTAATGGACCCTTGAAATGTGGCTGGTCCAAAATGAGATGTGCTGTTAGCATGTAAAGTACATCCCAGATTTGAAAAAAGTGTAAAACATCTCAGTAATTTTTTTTATTGATTACATGTTGAAATGACAATATTTGGGCTATATTTGGTTTAAAAATACATTATTAAAATTAAGTTTACCTTTTTATTTTTACATCTTTTAATGTGGCTACTAGAAAATTTTTAATTACATATGTGGCGTACACTCTATTTCTGTTAGACTGTGTTGATATCATCATACGCAACTATGGGGCCTTAAAATTGGAAAATAAACTAAAATTGTAGCAATAAGAAAATGGTTAAATCATTTTTGGCGTGTTTACTAAATAGGATATTGTGCATCCAATAATATGTGGCCCAGAAATGTGTATGATGTTACATTAAGTAAAGGAAGCCTGATACAAACGTATACAATTTTTTTAAACTGGGAGAATTTTCTGAAGATGCTAGCTGAAGATATGTTTGGAAGGTAAAATTCCAAGTGAAGTTTTCTTTTCCTTTCCTTCATTTTCAAATTTAAAAGATTGCTTTCGAATCTTTTTCACACTGAAATATGTTAAAAATCATAAAACTTTTTTATTTAAAAAAAAATCACTGATTCTTAGGCTCAGATCAAGGTAAATGAAGGAACGGCAGGTATCAGCATCCTCAAGGTGGCATCGTGGAGAAGGGAGCAGCCAGTCGTGTCTCCCGTCCCCCCTGCACAGTGAGCAGGAGGCAGGAAGAAACTCCAGAAAAGAGGATTGTTGATGATATGTATTGTATGTGGAAAGAATGGAGGAGGGGCATTTGTATCTTTTACCATTATGGAACATATAAAGAAAGAATTAGAAAACTAAATTTAAGGTCCTTTAGAAAGAATTAAAGTTCCGAAAATGACATGCCTTTCCATTCCTAGATTCATGATTCTGCTTTCTGAAGTTGAGAAATCATCAGATGAAATCGTGAAAACAATGCAGAACTTAAGGAGTATACAGGTTTGCATTCTTTTAGCATATAATTTTTTGAACTTCTGCTATGGATAAAGGGAAGGAAGCCACCCTTGATTGGAAATCCAATCAAGGAAGGAGTTTGCAGGGCATAGGTTTCATGACTCTTCATGGGAATTTCTCTTCTTATAGAAACATCACTTAACTATAATATTTCAGTAATATCTGACTTTTTCAAATTTAAATGTAAATTTGTAGACTGTGTAGTCTTTTTAGTTAATAATAAATTGTTTTTACTCAGCATTTTAAGACTTGCAATAGTTGACTTACCAGAAAAAGTTGAATTGCCTACCACAGAGTTTAAGTTTTGCAAATGAAGGAAACAATGGATACTGTGTTTTCATTAGACTTGTCAGTAGTCTTATGTGTGTAGAGAGCTGACTTAACTCATTTAAGATGGCTTTCTTTTAGGCTTTGGAGGGCAGTAGAGAGCTTGAAAACCTCATTGGTGTCTCCTGTGCTTCACGTTTCTTAAAAAGAGAGATGCAGAAAACCAAAGAACTATGTAAGACAAATTTGCAAGTTTTCTGTGATACTAATTTTAAAGATAAGTCTATTAATTTTTCTCAAATGTACATTTGATGGACTTCTGTATATATACCACACTACTGGACATGTTTTTTGCCTTCTTTAAATAAGAAGCCAGTTATTTATTATCTGGAGGACCCTCTTGAATGTGAAGGGAAAGAATGTTCCTTGGAAACTAGTATTAGGATTTTTTAAGGTAATGCTCATTTGTAAATAAGATGCAACATATTATACCTTATACTTGTTACCTGTAAATATTTATTACTTTGAGTTTTTCTCATGAAGTTGTTTCTACAAGTAATGAAACGTTATTCATATTCCATGTTAATTCTTAACATGGGATTCTTTTTTTTTTCTTTCAGTGACAAAAGTAACAAAACAAAAATTGCTTGAAAAGGGTTCTGGACTTCTTCGCAAAGGTAAATAGTTGTGTTACGGATGCTTTTATTTCATTTTACCAATTAAAACCAATCAACATGATTCCTTTTTAATGTATTATTTTAAAAGACCATGAATCTCAGTGAAACAGCCTTATATTTCATTTAGCAGAAGTCAATATCTGATGAGATCAACTTACCTAATGACTGAACTTTTAAAATGTCTTTTGAAATGCAACTTTCAGTGTAAGATTTAAATTTTGTCTCTTTATCAAAATTTATTTTTGAGAAAACAGGCAAATAGGGGCAACAATACATTAATATACTACAGTTTTTAGTGTTGCATTGAAAGAATACACAAAACAGTAAAAGATACTTTGTAACCAGTACTCTGGAAACTTTTGAATCATTAATGTCCTTTGATCCACTATGAACTCCTTTGCCTCTGAACATTTTACAGTATGGGAAACTAAGCTAGCAGTATTTAAATTCCAATAGGAAGTACACATCCACATCTCAAAAGGAAAATAATCGTGGAATTTAAAATATTAAAACCTTTAGACTAATGTAAGAGTGATTATTTTAACTACACTATACTACCATTGTCATTATAGACAAGGAACAAAGACACAAAAAACATCAAGTCACTCGCCCAAAGACACTGCTACTTAGGTGACAGAACAAGACTTCTGCCCAAAGACTAGTCTGACCTCAAAAACGAGGGTCCTTTCATTATCCCATGTTGTTTCTTCCTAAAACAGAGGCAAGCACCCAGTCACGCCAGCTTTCAGCTTCAAACATGACGCATAACTGGAACTGCTTCAGCCATTCCAGTATGCTAGACTGGGTGCAGGGCCTTCAATAAGCCAGCAGTGCGTCTGCATGGAAAGTGCTGGGATTGCCGCCAGTCAGACCCAGAGGCCGACTGGGGCACGGGAGGGCAGTGGTCATGGCAAGACCCCGCCTCTCGTGGGGAGGAAGCAGAACAGGCTTCCTAAGCCTGTCAGTTGAACAGCTAACTCCTACTGTGATCCCAAGAATTGAAGAACATAAAAGGCAGCTCTTTCTTCGAAAAGGCTTGGGATCTCTTCTCTCTTTTTTAAATTTAATCTTTTTAAAAATTGATTTCCTTTAGAGATAAGGTCTCTCTCTGTCACCCAGGCTACAGTACAGTGACACGATCCCAGCTCAATGCAGCCTCAAACTTCAGGGCTCAAGCGATCCTCCAGCTACCGTCTAGCTAGGACCACAGGTCTCCATCACTGTGCCCAGCTCATTTTTAAAATTTGTTTAAAGAGGAAAGTCTTTAAAATTTGTTTAAAGAGTGCAGTGGCACGCACGCTCACAGCCACCCCAGCGTCTATCTGCTGGGCGCCAGCGATCCTTCTGCCTCAGCCTTCCGAGTAGCTGGAAATACAGGCGTGTGCTACCATGCCCAGGCTGGTCTTGAATTCTTGGCCTCAAGCAATCCCTCTGCCTCAGCCTACTAGGTAGCTAGGACCACAGGTCGCCACCACCATGCCCAGCTCATTTTTTAGATTTGTTTAAAGAGGGAGGTCTTGCTATGTTGCCCAGGCTGGTCTTGAACTCTTGGCCTCAAGCAGTCCTTCTGCCTCAGCCTACTAAAGTAGCTAGGACCACAGGTGCCACCACCATGCCCAGCTCATTTTTTAAATTTGTTTAGAGAGAGAAGTCTTGCTGTGTTGCTCAGGCTGGTCTTGAATTCTTGGCCTCAAGCAGTCTTTCTGCTTCCGCCTCCTAGAGTGCTGAGATCACAGGCATACGCCACTATACCTGGCCTCTCTTCAGTTGTGTGATTTGATTAGAATGTGTAACTGGGTTTCAGTAGTTTCAGTCTCTCTTAATTTGACATTTTAGAGGATCATAATGGGGAATTAAAATGTTTATTATTTCCCAACTGGAAGAAATCTTGCTTCTCTATATCCTAGGCCAAAAGTGTGATTTCTTTAAAAAATCTATAATTTCCTAGAATTAATTAGAATTATGCTTCACATAGTTGGCTTTTGCAAACAGCCTTGAGAAATAAGGGAGAGAAAAAAATCTAGAATAAATAAAAGAATTGTCACTGCTAATAGAGGATTTTATTCTTTTTTTTTTTTTTTGAGTTGGAGCCTCACTCCTTCACCCAGGCTGGAGTGCAATGGCACGCACGCTCACTGACACCCCAGCGTCTACCTGCTGGGCGCCAGCAATCCTTCCGCCTCAGCCTTCCAAGTAGCTGGAAATACAGATGCGTGCTACCACGCCCGGCTATTTTCTATTTTATTGTAGAGACGAGGTCTCACCAAGGTCCCTGGGCTGGTCTTGAACCCATGGGCTCAGGCCATCCACTCACCTCGGCTTCCCAAAGTGCTGGAATTTAACACCTCAAACTAATTTGCTGTATGTGTTCCTCACTCTGAGATCTGGCCTTTACCTTTTTATATTAATTTCAACTTTACTTTTTTTTAAAAAACTATGCTATTACCAAGAATTGTCTAAATTTTAAAATGCTTTGGGCATCTTCATATTAGAAACTGGCTGGTCCAAAGGCATTGAGTTATCTCATTTGATGGTTCACAGTCAGTTACAGATTGAACTCCTTGTTCTACTCTTCTTCCCTTCTCCGCACTTGACTAGTCTTTAAAAAAATTTAAAATTTTATAAAGTAAAAATCATCCCTACAATATGATAGATTTGCTTCACTTAAGTAATTATGAAAATGAGAATATGCCAATCACTTGTTTCACTGTCAATGTCCTTGAGAGTCTTTTTTTTTCGTCCTTCAGATTTTTATAAAATTTTCCTGGAATAGCTAAAATAGACAGTGCCAGAATAAATTCAGTATTTATGCTGTCATTGCCTCCTTCAAATTGGTCGTTTAGTTTTATTTATTTCCTCATTTCAGTGGTAATTTCAGTTAACTTCAGTTGCAGTCTTGATTACAGGAAGAAGAGTATAACAGAAAAATAACACTAGTGTTTTAAAATAAATAGACATCTGACACGCATTCTTAACGCTGTATATAAGTTATTCAAGAGAAATTTTAAAAATACACAGTAACATGAAAAAGTACACTGAGGTTTTCATCATTCTCATAAGAATCAGGGAATGCCTATGAGAGTGTATGAATAAAAGAGAATTTCCCCTGCTAAGTGCATATTACTTAAACAAAGGAAGGCTTCTTTCTTCAGTCACTTAGGAAATAAGCCTAATTTTGCTTTCCTTAATAATGACTATTAGGAAAATAATGAAATGAAAGATTCTTTTTCCGTTAGATTTAGATGTGAATTTTCATAATTATTTTAAATTTGTTATGCTGGAGACTTAAAACGTATGACCATTCAATGACTTGATACAGACAGAATGTCACATTATTATCACATGGTAAGGCATGAAATTTATTTACTTTACATAATCAACCTCTACTTAAAACAACTTGATACAGATATCTTTTAGTCAATAGATGGCATTATATAGTACTTAGTTTTTTTGTTTTTTTCTGGAGATATTAAAAAATGCCATCATTGTTTGTCTATGACTAGTACTTCCAGTAAACAAAATGTTTTTGAAAAGAATGTAAGCAAATTGTAGAGCAGTTGCCAAGATATGAAATCTGGATACTTAGCTTCAGTCCAAAACATATTTTATCTGTCTTGAGAATAATTGTGTAGGTTGCAGTATGCATATTTTAAATGAAATGTAACCATCTGAACTTTACATTGGTCAAAAAAGTCGATTGTTTCAGCTGTTTATAACAGAAAATATTTCAGAATCTCTAACTCTGGTCTTTAAAAAAAGGCATAAACTATAATGTTCCTGTTTTCTTTAGTTAGCTTTCTGTGTTCTTACATTGTAAAATTCATCCTGGTTATAGGATTTTAAAGTTATTAAATTCTTAGACTACAGGACAGATTTTTAAACTCCTTTTGCTCTGTACCACAGTCTGATACTGCCTTTTCATTCTAACCACCCACTGGAGTATTTTTTAAACATAAAAATATGTTGTTCTTTCCCCCACTCAGACTTGAAAAAGTATTCATCATCTTAGCTAAATAATTTTACCCCCAGAAGACAAAAATAGTTTTCTATTTTATCCTAACATTAAACAGTATCTTTTTTCAAACAGATACTTCAGTTTTAAAAGCACTGAGGTTTGAAGTTTAGACATGATGAGTTTTAGGAGAAACAACAAAAATTCCCTCTTATGCTTTAACATTCTGGGTTTATCTGGAGATAAAAGATGGCGCTATTAATTTTGGTGGCACAAATATCCATTAATGCACAGCCGTGGTGCTCAGCCCTTCCTTAGGATTCGGCGGTCCTGTGTGCCGTCCGGGGGCTCCCCTCTCCCGTTCATAATGTTGTGCTCTCGTTTTTCACTACTCATCACTGTTTGGGGATACATTTCATTGGATGGAAATGCTTCCTGGAGATTTGTCTAGGATTTAAGTGAAATAAACTGGCTTATTATGTTTCAACGCCTTTTACATAGTTTCTCCCATGATTTGAATTTTTTTTATATTTTACTAAAAGTATGACAATTTTTCTTTTAAATAAAACCAGTTAAAAAAAAGTAAACGCTAGGTTTGGCCTCACTTAATAGCAATTACGTGTTTAAGAGGTGTAAATAACTTGCCATCAGACATTACAAATATCCAGGTGCTCTGTATGTGCTGATGACAACAGAATGGAAAAGAAAGACCGTAATAATTCTGACTGGTTTTCTCTTCAGAAGATATTGATTATTTGTGTGTGGTGAGAGATTTGGAAAATTCAATTAAAGGAGTTGTGCAAAGGTTTCATAAATTTTCTTCTACAGCGTGTACACAGACATTGTTGCGTGTTAAATCAATGCAGCACTTCACAATATATTTTCTTTGAAACATAAAAATAAATAACATTTAAACAGTTCTGCTTACTACAGAAACAAATTTTATTTTCTGCGAAGCATTTAGTCATGTGCTATCACTGACTCATACACATTTGCCAGCTGTAACAAATTTTATAGACATTTTCCCCAGAGACATATCTCATATACTATGAATTTTTAAATGAGCAAATGGTGAAGAAGGGATGTCAGCAATATAAAAATTGATCAGTTAAAAGATAAAAGCATAAGTAAAGAGATTTGTATGGTAGCCCTAATAGGTTTTATTAAATAAAAATACTATAAAAAGACAGTAATGCATAGACTGAAGACTGACTGTTCAGAAAAATTATTCTGGCCCATTTAGTAGAAATTGGTTTTATATCACCTGACAGGTGAACTTTTTCCCCCCCATTTTAGCTCTCAGAGTAGTCAAAAAAGCCCCACAAAACAGATAAATTCTCTAAGTAAAGTAGCTTAAATATTTTAAGCACATATAATAAGGCAGACGTATATAGAATGCTCTAGCTAACTACCTAGTTCGAAGCAGGACTGGTGTCGTTATTGAACACTAGGTGGTTCTTCCTCCAGCTCGGACCTCAAGGGCGAGGAGATGGTCATTGGTATTCGTGCTTCTTCACACCACGCACTTCAGCCTCTGGAATCTCTTCTGCGATGGACTCCAGGCCTCCCCGCTGCCTTCCTCCCTAGGTTCTTTCCTTTCTCTGTCTCGCAAACTCCTGCTCATCCTTTAGGTCACCCTCAGACGTCACGTCCTCTGTGAAGCTCCCCCCAGCTCTCATGGGGAAAGCAGAATTGCTTCATCTAGGCACCCACAGTACTTGTCTGGATACTTTAAATGTGTCCCGTTGTAGTCCATGATGATCGTCCACAGGACGACAGGACTCTCTTTGACAAACAAAATGTCTTATCAGGACACTGGAGTCCCAGAGCCCGGTCAAGAGCCTGTACGGAAAGTCCACAACACAGTTCAACAGATCTGTGAAGGAATGAAAGTAAATGGCCACTCCAAGAGGCTTTTACAATAATTATCTGAATATCAAGAACTTATGAGTTGCTGTCTCCTTATACACCTTGTTAATTTTGTTGAATGCCTGCTATGAGCCAGGCATCGTTCCAGCCTTGGGGACACAGTGACAAACTCGGCAGACATAGTGCTGCCCTCAGGAGTGCAGATTTAAATGACAATTTAAATAAACTATAAAGCGTGTACTCACAGTGGTAGTAAGCACACACTGCAAGAAATAAATGTCTTGGAAGTTTTCATACTTTTAAAATGTTCATTCCAAAATGGAATCAGGCTAACCAGGTGGATGTTGAAATGAGAATTTACAGCCCCAAAGCTGCCATTTATAATGGAAAATAAAACATGTTTAGGTTATCTAATTTCATTTTGAGTCAACATTTATTCTGAATCATGTAACGTGACAAGTTACTTTGAAATGTTCTCTGAAAAAAAACCTTACTTTCTTCTTTCATACAGAATCATGTCATCTTGACAGCTATGAATTCCTTAAAGCCATTTCAAACTGAGGTACTGTTTCACCTTTCTAATTCAGTTTAGCCTTGTGAAATTTCACTGTGTTTTGTTCAAGTGGAAACACTGTATTTACAATTATCAGATTTGGTATTGTCTTTCTGTGAGAACACAAGGACATGAGTCTTGGAGCTTTAGTTGAAATTATATTTAATCTAGTCTTATAAGCAACAGGACGACAGTCTGACTTCCAGGCTGGTTGAAAAAGAACACTGTTGAGGCGACCTGGATAGCTTCAAATCAGAGAGGGCACATTTTCAGCTGAGCATACAAGGGCCCTTAATTGAGCCTCTATCTGTATAAATAGCTAAATAGCAAGGGGCAGGTAGGTTATCGTTTGTATAGGATGAGTATCTGACTAAGCAAGACCTAACAAGTCTGGTAAATCTGAAAATGTGCTAAATTAAGTAAATAAGTGTATATTAATTAGTGATACCTTTTCTTCACAATAATTCCTATGGGTTCAGCAGTACAAGTATGTTTATAAATATACTTTATAAATTGGATATGTTTATAAATAGCTTATTATAACATATAAGCTAGAAGCAATGTGATTCATGATGTGATATTAGTATTTAGTATACCTGTAACTGAAAGCTTACATTAAGAACTGGCATTATCCCAGACTTTGTGTCATTAGTATTAATTAAGGTTCTTAGAAGTTAAGCAGGTGTTGCCTGCTATCTCTAAGAAAAAAAAATTAAAGCAAAATGCAAGAATTATGTCTCCAAAATACTTCTCTTTGAAAAGGGTTTGTTAGCTTCCTGACAAACTGTTCTTAAGATATTTGCAAAGCATCTTAATGTAGAAAATTATGTCCCTTTCATTAAAATGTTCATTCTGTTGTACAAAGTAAATAATAACTAATAATAGTATTAATAGCTAACATTTATTGATCGCTTTCTGTATGCCAGTTGGTGTTATATATGCTTTGTGCATATCCCATTGAACCTCCACAAAGACTTGGGAAGCTGTTACAATCGTTACCTTTATTTTATAGGTGAGGAAATTGAGGCACAGCAGGTTAAGTACCTTATTCCAGAGTCCTCTGAGAAGCAGAGCCAGATACTAATGGAGTAGGCTGGAGCTAGAGCCTGTGCTCTTGACGGCTGCACAGGAGTAATCTGTGAATGTCAGCTTTCACTACTGGCCAACGGCTTTATATCCAGTTGAGTAAGGAGATAATACATAAACACTGATACCTATAGTCACTCATTGTAAGGTTAAACATCTGCTGAAGTTTCTGACCCATGAAAATTCAACAGAGAACTGTTACAGTGGATGATGGCCAGAGGGACACGTTCCCAGTTACACGTTGAGCAAACCAGCATCCACATCTGGTGCAAGAGGCCCATGAACACCTAGACTAGAGGCTAGCTTGTGTTCTCGGAGTCTGGCGAAGACCACATTCGAGGGGTGTTACCTGAGCCTGTGAGGGGTGCTTTGAAGGAACTTGAAAGACTCGAGGGCAAGCTACCAGTCCGCTTCCCTTTTGGCGAGAAAAGCGAGAGAGAAATGTCGGTGAGGTCAACCGGCTCCACCTGGAGGCACATCCCTGCGCTCTGGTTCGACTGGGCTGCTTCACTTGGGGGGCTTTCTTCATGACCTCGTGCCCGAGTGCGTGTGGCCCACATCTTTGTGCCCGCCCTCCTGAGCTGCAAGCCCACACCTCAGCTGCCGTGCAGTGACCCCAGATACACTGATTTCACCATTGCCACTTTGAAACTGTGCTTCCTTCTCTCTTCCTAGGAACTGCCCCATTCCCTTGATGGCGCTGAAAAGGTCAAATCCTCGCCTTTTTGTCCCCAGACACCAGATGCTGACTTCTGAAGACGCTCGGTTCCCGCTCCCATGCCCCTTCTAACCTCTCCGACTGTCACTGTCCCTGCTGTCACCCACCTGTCTGCCCTTTGCGCCCTTTCCCCAATGGCCTGTGCTGCTACCGGACAAATCTGTGCTTAAAGAAACCACTCAGCCGCCTTCACAACCCAGCCACACTTAACCAATGTTCGGGATTCTCCCTGATCCCCCTCAGCTTCCCGTCCCAGTTTCCCCGCGTGCCTCGTTCACCCCAGGGACGGGCGTTTCCCAGATGCCCCTCTCGTGTCTTCCCTTTGTTCTTGTCTCCTCCGCCTGGCGAGCCTCTCGCCCACGACCGTCCAGACCTTGCCCACCTTTGGCGCCCTGCTTAGAACTGTCTTCTACTCTGTCAGCTCCGGGGCCCTCCCCTCCGCGTCCTCTCTCTGCTCTTCTGCGCACTTGCCGGGCTGGTCTGAATGTGGGAGGGATGTCCTGTGTCCTGGAAACTTCGGACACAGTGCTCCTGCTGTCACCGCGGCCACTTTCCCAGGCTGCATGTCAGCCCCTTCCCTCCCTCACACTTCGCACCCATTCGACTTGACCCGTAACTGCTCAAGGGGGAGGGCTGTCCCACATAAATTCACCTACAGAGTCCTTAAAAGGGAAAGCCTGGCCAGGCATGGTGGCTCACACCTGGAATCCCAGCACTTAGGGAGGCCGGGGCAGGAGTATCACTTGAACCCGGGGGTTCGAGACCAGCCTGGGCAACATAGCAAGGCCTCGTCTCTACAGAAAACAAAGAAACAGCTGGGTGTGGTGGCATGTCCCTGTAGTCCCAGCTGCTTGGGAGGCTGAGGCAGAAGGATGGCCTTAGCCCAGGAGGTCGAGGCTGTGGCGCACCGCGGTCGGGCCGCTGCACTCCAGCCTGAGTGGCAGAGTGAGACCCCGACTTAAAAAACAGTGAAGCTTTTACGAAACAGTGTTCGAGTAAGAGAGAGAGTAAGGGAGACGACTACCCAGAGTGCTGAGACCATCAAAAGGCGGGAAGAGGAAAAATATTTTGGCCAATGTTCCCAGGAAGGCCTGGGATGATACTTAGTAGCAGTGTGGGTAAATCACCTGGCTAACGGAAGTGTGAGGCTTAGTAGGAACAAAGCACTGCGTATAACAGCAGTATTCTGGAGCCTGAGCATCAAGAGCACAGGACTTAAGTACACGACAGGAGCCACATAAGGCAAGCTGTACGCGACGCACGCTCAGACACTTTCTTCCAGGGTTCTGGCCGATACCAGGCACAAGCAAGGACTGCGAGTCCGGGGATGATCGAAGATTGTGTGGCAGGCCTGGAGGAAGCTGGGGTGAGCAGGCGGATCATGCCGAAAGCCGAAACGAGCCTCTTCTCCCACACGGAACCTACTCCTGAACTCCATGTGCTCTCCTGAGCCGAAGGAGAAAGCTGAATCTTTGTAGTAGCCTCCAAGCCTGTGTGCTTGGTGAAGACCACACACCTGCCTTTACGTGCTTGGCTGCAGGTCAGAGCGATTGAATGGGCTGGTCTCTGCCACGTGGAATTCGGAAGGATGAAAAAAGGCCCATTGGACTTGAGTAGGCAACGACAGGGACACTGCCTGGAGTGTTACTAGTAAAATGTGAAACAATGAATGTTCGGGACTTCTGCCAAATTTGTCACGCTTCCATGGAGTACAGAGACAGAAGGAGCTGACAGACATACTGTGGCACCAAACGAAGAATAAGCAGAGTTACAGGAACTCACAGCAGACATAGATCACCTCGGGATGGGATTATTAGGCCCCTTTTAGTTTTCTATTTTTTTTCAAACATCGACAAGGTCTCACTCTGTCGTCCAGGCTGGAGTGCAGTGGCATCATGGTAGCTCACTGCAGTCTTGACCTCCTGGGCTCAAGGGGTCTTCTGCCTCAGCCTCCCAGGTATCTGGGACTACAGGCACATGCCACCATGCCCAGCTAATTTTTCTGTTTTTTTTGTCACTCTGTCACCCAGGCTGGTCTCAAACTCCTGGACTCAAGTGATCTTTCCACCTCAGCCTCCCAAAAAGCTGGGATTACAGGTGTGAGCCACTGCTCCTGGCCTTATTAGGTCATTTTTAAGGTCATTTCCCACATGCTCTGTGGGAATGTATGCCATCAGTTGCCAGTGGCTGCTTTCTTCAAAGGCTTCCTCTCACACAAGGGTCCTTAGGCCAAAAGACAAGAGCCTCTGCCACCACTAGGAGTCCCCAGAGAGACACACTCTGAATAGGAATCTGTCATAGTAAATACTTTTTTTTTTTTTTTGAGCAGCTGTTGGGGGAAACACCTGCTGAATGGCCCCTAAGGCTTATAGACAAAGGCATGTAGATTTGGTGTTTTCCATAGGTCATGTTGGAGTCTTAAAATTCTCTGAGAAGTATCTCACGTAGGTATGGTCTCATAGAGTAATCATATTGACAGTTATTTGAAGATGAATCCTACTTATGAGACTTAAAAAATGCACGAGAGGTTACCAGTATCTAACTAAACTAGATACCAAATTACATGGTAAATGGGTGTTTAAATCATTCTTTAAGTCATGTATGAGATGCATGTTAATTTGGAAACCAGTTCTCAGTGATGCAGTAAACATCTTTTATATCCCATCGGCATTTAGAAGAAATGCACTCGGTACAAGTACCAACTTCTGCATCTGCCTGATCATATTTAAAGGAACAGAAGAAATATTTGTAATTAATCTGCCCAGTAAATACCAGCTCATAGCACTAGGCAGGTGCACGTCTAGATAAAATTTCTTGCAGCTAATTTAAACTTTTTACACAAGCCAGTAGATAATCTCAATGTAAATAATACATTTCTTCTTGACCCTTTAATGTAAGCCAACATACAGAGGAGTAGCTTGACTTACATTCTGTGCCACATATGTTTCTTTATACTTTGAGCGTTTGTGGATAGATTAATAAAGCATTATGAAAATGGCACCTTTGGTAGAACTACATACTTGCCTGAAATTCGGGACGTGGAATCAGGTACCGGTTTTCCCACTTACAGTCCCAGCTGCTGACTCATTTACAGACTCTTTTAAAATCTGCTTAAATGTATTAAATACAAAGGTTTTTTTTTAACTAAACTACACCAAACTTAAAGAAAAGACCTTTTTACGGGCCAAATCATTTTGAGCCATTAACTCAAACCTCTGTTGTTCTCTCGTGTGGTTTTGTATCGTCACCTGCTTTTCTTTCACTCACAAAATCAAGAGGACTGGGGAGAATGACAATATATTGTCTCGATAAAAAGATGTATGCTCTTCTTGACATTTCTTTGGGGAAAAATGCTGTTCCCTTGGTACATGCCCTACGTTTTCACAAATTAGTAGAAAATATTACTGTGTCATTTGATTCAATGGATCATGAAAATAAAAATACTATATGAAAATCTGAAGCAAAATTTAACAAATTAAAGTTGAAAAATAACTCATTTTCCACAGAGTGCAGTAGCACACGCCAGAGTTCAAGACCAGCCTTAGCAACACAGCAAGATCTCTCAAAAAAAAAAAGTAACACTTTCCGCTTGGAGAAATTTGATTCATCTCTTAAAATGAATGGTTAAAAAAATATATTACTATAAATGACATAGATACTAAACAATAATCCAACTATTAAAACTAATTGCCTTCATTAATGATTTTCTTGGCACCATATAAATATTTTAAAAGATAATCTGTCTACTAAGTATTAGGATACTTTGTGATATAGTCCTTTTAATAGCCTGTTACCAAAAGAATACTAAAAAATATTGTTCTGGCAGCGAAAACTAACCTTAGGATGTAAGCCAAAACATCTTATGAAGTAACCTACATTAGGAAATACAGGGCTAAGAAGTAGATCGGTGTCATGTGTAATCCAAGCTATGTAGGTATGTGCTTAATGCTGTTCAGCCAGTTACTGTATGTTTGACCTCTTGATATACTAAGCTTTTGCCTTTCGGAACAGCTGGGTCTGCTAAGAATCATTTCCCAGTTCTTTTCATTGTAGATCAGATGGCTCTCGCTTTATCACCCTTGGAGGCCACATGAAGGACAAAGCAGAAGGATCCACACACAAAACTAATGTTTATATGGGGGGAGGGCGTGCGGGGGATACACTTGGCCCTGATCTTCCAGTGAACACAACAGAAGAGAGGCCAATTGAGACTTGAAACCACTGTTGCTCCAGCCATTATTTAGTTCCATCCTCTCTCTCTCTTCTGAACAGAGAGGCTCCTTTGGCTGCCTTGACTTTTGTAAATGTTTCACTCACTTAGTTGTGGTTTATCATTTAGACAGACTGCTACATCGGGGATTTTTCTCCGCTCACTAAGTCCTCAAGGGAAGATGGCTCCTCTGTGCCTCATATGTGATACATGAACATGCACCTCTTCTCTTCATTTTAAGGAGCAGTCTTCAGTTTATTGGCAACCGAGAAAACTGCATTTCCCAGAAATGCCTCTTCCAGCTAATATATATTTGAAAATAACTTTGGAGGGTTCGTTTTTAGTGAAGAAAGCGGAAATCGCTTATATTTTTGCGTAACCTAAATATCTTTATAGTGAAGCATCCATAAAATCCTGAGTTTAGCTAAGATAAATGCTTTGGAATCGCCTACTTCTGAAATCTTAGTTCATCACTGGCTATTTCTGGTATTCTTTTCTTTTTTCCTGAGACTGGCCTCGAACTCCTGGGTTGTCACAATCCTCCCACCTCATCCTCCTGAGAAGCTGGGACTAAGGCTTGCCCTGCCTCACCCAGCCTCTATTTCTGGTATTTTGAAACCTAATCCCTCTAAGTTCAAAGTACACTCTCAAACTGGTTTTTAATAGATACGAGGGATACTTATAAGATAATAGCTACAAGTTTCCATAAAAGCTATAATGTACTCAATATGATTAAGCCATCTGAAAAGTGTGTTTTTATTTACAGAATGTACCTATATGATATCTTGAATCAGGTGCATTTTATTTCACTAATGATGATATATTTTTATTTTCAAATAATAAAGTTTCTCTTCTCCAATTATTGAGATGTTGTAACTTAAAACCTCCTCATCACTGATTTAAATCAACGTTCTGTATCACACACAAGTATACTATCACAAAGTGTTTCTAAAAGCAAGGCTCACCAGCCAGCCAAGATGCTGACATTTGGGCCCAGCGATTACAGATGGTGACCATGGACAGCGATGCGCCTGCTGATTCGGCAGCGACTCAAGGCTGCTGCTCTCTGCTGACCTGCCCTTTGAGTCTTTATACACATTTGCTTTGAGGGAGAAGTACTTCTGGATTTTTGCTTTGTCCAACCCCATTTCTTTTATTAGACTTAGAGACACATGCCTGCTCCCTCCAGCCTGTGACTCCATGTCCAGAACCAAATTTTCTTGGCATGTGATTTGATCTGAACTGTTAAAATATGCCACCACGTGCTATGCTTTAATGGCTATCTTATGCAAGACTTAATATTCACTAAAAAATAGACTGATGGTAAGATGATTGTTTTAATCTTTATCACAGAGACTAAAGAAACCGTATCTTGACACGAAAAACCACAAAATGGTTATCACACACTATCTTAACCAGCTGAATACCATAACAGATTTGTGCTAGTGTGGAATGATAAAGTACTAGGAGGACAAAGTTAACATGAAGCAAGATATGGAGCAATGCTTATGGCAGTGGTAACCTTGAACCACATCATGACAAAAAAGAACAGAAGGATGGAATTCTATATAATGCAGCTTGTCTTAAACAGAATGATTCTGGAAGTTTCAAACTTGTGATCGTGCGTAATTAAAAAGACTTCACTCAAACCACTTACATTTAAAACTCAAATTTACATTCAGGAAAATTCATTTTTTAAATTGGATTCAAGTAAATCTGCATCCTTGGAAATAAATAAGAATATGGCTTATCTATTTGCCTTGTTAAAAAAAATTCAAATCGGCTGGGCTTGGTGACTCAGTCTGTAATCCCAGCCCTTTGAAAGGCCAAGGCGAGTGGATTGCCTGAGCCCACGGGTTTGAGAACCACCTGGGCAACTTGGGGAGACCTCATCTCTATAATAAATCCAAAATTAGCCGGGTGTGGTAGCGTGCGCGTGTAGTTCCGGCTACTTGGAAGGCTGAGGCGGAAGGATCACCAGAGCCCAGCAGGTCTAGGCCGCGGTGGCCGGGAATGTGCCACTGCACTCCAGTCTGGGCGACAGAGTGAGACTCCAACTCAAAAAAAAAAACAAAACAAAAAATCTGCATGAGTAGCAGGCATGTTCAAGCTTCAAGCAGTTTAAATTGCTTCTCAGTAATTAGATTACCACAAATGTAATAACCTGAGCTATAAAGTCTAAAAAATGAAATACATATCACTTGCATTCTAACATGTAAAGAAAACTAAATTTGAATGTCAAAATTAGTGATTTCCTTTCAAAAGAAGCGCCTCAATGTGGTCTGATAAAGGAAGTAGATTTAGACATTATTCTCAAAATGTTTTCAAGACATAGAGTACATTTCCCAAGTAAACACTGGCATTATGGATGTGTTTCTCTTTTTAAAAAACCACATTGTTTAATTCTCAAACATTTTTCTATTTTTCCCACCTGAATAGCTGCGAATACTTACTACAATATTACAACATGTTTTGGCCAAGCCACACTTAGAACACAAAAGCCGCCACTGGCCTTCAGCTCCCACATGCATTTATTCTGTGTAGACAATTAGGACTTGCCACCGTTTCCTTCCTGGAGTTCCACGGGGCTCAGAATGATCATTTCGGGTACACGTAGCAAGAAGTTCACACAGCCTTTCAGCACTGTCCACATTTTCACATTTGCTTGGGAATACAGCTAGTTGGTTTTCTTCTGGTTTCTTGCATCTTTGGAATCCCACATGATTATAATGTTAAAGTACACCCAGAAAAACAGGAAATTCAAGCAGGACACAAAGCACACCAGCACAGAAAATAAGTCTGGCAATTTCTGAGGAGGATCCAGTGTAGCAGTTATTGACGTCAGAAGCACCATAGTGATTACTGAGATAAAAAACTACAAGGGGGAAGAAAAAGTATTACTGAGTAGTATAGAAGGTGAAACTTAAATGCACAGAAAACACTGGCGGGTAGCTATTCAATGAGAACGAAAGGTGAGGGCTGGGGGTGGCCAGTCTCAAGTTTGGCTTCAAACTGGCCTCGTGTGAGGGGTTTTAAATTGTGATGCCCAGGCCACACCCCCAAGCCAATGAATCAGAATCTGGAGCAGGCCTCAGTAGTTTCCAGAGCTCTTTAAGGAATTTCCACATGTTCTCAGGTGAAAGCCTTATACTTGACTTCATTATCACCCAGGCACTGAAAAAAGGTACCTAGGGCAGATATCACTGCTAGGAGGTTTGGCATCTCCTAGGGCCCCGCAGGATTTAAAATTCTAAGCTAATGGTTATAAATAAATATCCAGTTAGAAGAAATAAAACTTAGTGTTTGGGCCAGATGTGGTGGCTCATGCCAGTAATCCCAGCACTCTGGGAAGTCAAGGCAGGAAGATTGCTTGAGGCCAGGACTTCAAGTCCAGGCTGGGCAACATAGGGAGACCCTGTCTCTACAAAATAGAAAAATCAGTCTAGCTTGGTGGCAACGTGCCTATAGTCCAAGGCAGAGGCAGGAGGACAGATTGAGCCCAGGAGTTCGAGGCTGCAGTAAGTCAAGATCACACCACTGCACTCTAGCCTGGGTGACAGAGCAAGACCCCATCTCAAGAATTAAAAAGACCCAGGGTTTGACAGAAGAGAGTGACTATAATTACTGTTAATCTGTATACTTCAAAATGTCTAAAAAAGAATAATTTGAGTGTTCCTAGCATTAAAAAAAGACAAATATTTAAGGTGATGGATAGCCAAGTTATCCTGATTTGATATTTACATTATATAAATATGTCAAATTATCACATGTATCCCACATATATGTACATGTAGTATGCATCAATTTTTAAGTCTAATCCTGAGAACACATCTATGAAACAGCTTTCCATGGCAAATGGAAAGAGACATTTCACAGACAATGAATGCTTCCAAGGAGCCAATGCTGTAGTAAAGCACCACGGGGCCTGGGAAAGGGAATATGGTCCTCTGGCCTCAAAGAATTTTCCGTTTAATTAGGAAAATGTTCACTAAAGTCACAAGGTCGCATTTGATTAAATGCCAAAATGAGTAGTAAGAATAATTATTCAGTTTATTGTAATTATGTGGTCAACAGTTTTCTAGACTGATGTACTGTACAATAGCACTTTTTGTAATAATGGAAATGTTTGCTGTCTGTGCACTGAGTAGCATACCTGTGAACAGTAGCTGCTAGCCATATGTGGCTACTGAGTATTGAAATGTGCCTACTTTGACCGAGGAGCTAAAGTTTTAATTTTATTTAAATTTACTACGTTTAAAGTTCCATGTGCATCCATTAGCTACCATATTGGACAGTTTAGCTCTAGGCTGTGAGCTCCTTTGAGACAAGGAACAGCCCAATCTTATTAACTTTATCCCTAGCACAGTCGCAGATATACAACAGGTGTGTAAGTAAACCTAGAAAGCAAGCAGTGAGAAACGGCTGTGACTTTCACGAAAGAAGGTGGGATATAAATGGAACCCTAAAAGATGAGACCCGAATGCATTCCAAATGGAAGAATGAGATGGATGGGAGCCAGAAAGGCTGAAGACAGAAACAGAAATGCCAGTATCCTCAAAGGGAAAATCCCTGCAGCAACCCAGTGGGGAGTGCAAGTTTTTGAAGTCAAGTCATCAAAATAAAAGTTCCGAACTTAAACGTGGGACTGGATGAAATGTCATAAAACCATCATCTTGAACCAGTGTTAAACAGGCATTCAGAAATTTCTCCCATTTTAAACAAAAACCCTCTCTTGCTCCAGCTATTACCTCACTTGTCTGCTCCTACAAATAATAAGAAAACCCAAGGGATGTAAAGCATATAAAACAATCTTGCAAAAGAAGGACAAAATTGGAGGACTCACATTTTCAGTTTCCAAACTAACTACAAAGCTTCAGCAATCCAAAACTGTGGTACTAACATAAGGATATACATACTCTCAGTTCAATGGAACAGAACTGAGAGTCCACAAATAAGCCCTTACATTTAGGACCAGTGGATTTTCTTTCTTTTTTTTTTTTAGTATTTTTATTTCTTTATTATAGAGACAAGGTCTTGCCAAGTTGCCCAGGTTGGTCTCGAACGTGGGCTCAGGCAATCCACTTGCCTTGGCCTCCTAGAGTGCTGGGATTACAGGCTGAGCCACCGAGCCTGGCCTGGACAAGTGGATTTTCAACAAGTTGTCAAAACAATACAGTGGAACTGGAACAACTTTAATAAAGTTGGACTCCTACCTCATACCATATACAAAATTAACTTGAAATGAATCAGATGCCCAAATATGAAGACTAAAACAATAAGAGTCTTAGAAGAAAATATAAGAGTAAATATTCATGACCATTGGCTATACAGTGGTTTCTTAGATATGATGCCAAAAGAAAAAAAGGAAAAAAATACACATATTGGACTTTATCAAAATCAACTTTTGTGTTGCCAGTGATACCCTCAAGAAATTAGAGACCCGGTACAGTGGTTCACACCTGTAATCCCAGTACTTCGGGAGGCTGAGGCAGGAGAATTGCTTGAGCCTGGGCAATGCAGCGAAGCCTTATCTCTACAAAAAAACAAAAAATAAGCCAGGCATGGTGGCACACACTTGTAGTCCCAGCTACTTGAGAGGCTGAGGTGGGAGAAACTCTTGAGCCCAAGAGTCTGAGGCTGTGGTGAGCTGTAGTTGTGCCACTGCACTCCAGCCTGGGTGGCAGAGTGAGACTCTGACTCAAAAGTAAAAAGAACCCAATTTAAAATGGCAAAGGATTTAATTCGGCATTTCTCCACAGAAGATATACAAATAGGCAATAAGCACATGAAAAGATGCTCAACTTCGTTAATCACTAGGGAAATGCCGATCAGAACTCCAATGAAATACCACGTCACACACACCAGGATGGCTACAATTAAAAAGGCAACAACAAATGCTGTCAAGACGTGGAGAAACTGGAATCTCACGCATTGTTTGGCAGTTTCTGAAAATGCTAAACAATGACCATATGACCCAGCAATTCTACTCCGAGGTATATACTTGAGGGAAAAGAAAACATGTGCTCAATACCTTGTAGACAAATGTTCACAGTGGCATATTCATAACAGCCAAAAAGTAGAAACAATCCAATGTCCACTATCTGATGAATGAATAAACAAAATGTGGTATGTCCACATAATGGATATAATTTGGCCATAAAAACGAATAAAGTACTGATACATGCTGTAACACAGGTGAACCTCAAAAGCACAAGCAGTGAAAAAACCCAGTCATAAAAGATCATGCATATTAGGATTCTATGCTCCATAAAGAGCGAACTACAATTCGCATACTGAAGCCCTAACCACCAATGCGGCTGCACTTGGAGACCGGGCCTTCAGGTAATTAAGATGAAATGAGATCAGAAGAGTGAGGCCCGAGCCCAACAGCACTGGTGTCCTTACAGGGAAAGGAGACACCAGAGATCTTCTTCCATGTGCATACGAAGTAGAGGCCGTGTGAGGACACGGCAAGAAGGTGGCCGTCTGCAAGCCGGCAAGAAAGGCCTCCCCAGAAATCAACCCTGACAGACCTTGGTCTTGGCCTTTGGGCCTCCAGAACTGTGAGAAAATACATTTCTGTCGTTTACGCTACCTAGTGTGGTATTTTTATGGCGGCCCTAGCAGACTAATACATTCCATTTATATGAAATGTCCCAAGTAGGCCGATCTACAGAGACAGAAGGTAAAGGACCAGCTGTCCGAGGCTCAGGGCCAGAGCTGAGAGTAGAATGGAGCTTGGCTCCTAACGGGCTCAGGGTTTCTTTTGGGGGTGTGAAAATAATCTAAAATTAGATTATGGTAATAGTTGTGCAAATCAGTGGACATACTTAAAACCAATGAATTGTACACTTTAAATGAGTGAGTTTATGTGAATTATACTCAAAAAGCTACAAAAGAGAAAAGATATCCCAACAATTTAAAACATAGTGGCATGCTGAAAATGTACTATTCCTTAAAAATGGAAATACTTACCAAACATTGTATAATTCTGGGAAGAAATGTAAAACGTGGAAGATATTTCCTAACAGAACTGGAAAAGGATTTCAACTGCAGCTCTTCTTCAGAAGTCTTTTCAAATATTGAAAAGGAAGTTGCACAAGCTACGAAAAATGCCACCACTGTCACAACCGAGGGCACCAGGAGCTCATCCTTCAGTAGAAGAGGCAGCATACTGCAAAGGAAACGTTTTAAACATCAAAAGAGAAGCATCGATTCAAACCATAATTGCTTTGTAAAAAAGTTTTAAATTAGTTTATAAGAATCATTCTGATAATATATGAAAATTGGTTCAACTCACCTAAATGTTGACACAAGTAAAAACCAAGTAGACATAAAAGGAATTTCATTTAAAACTAAGCAGACTGGTCTAAAATGATAAAGAAAAAATATTTTAGTTCTACAGAATACAATTTCAACTCCTACTTGTAAAAAAATATAAACACATTTTATCTGTCTGATTTTCAGAGATAACTTTAAAAAATATAAGCCAGGAAGGTCTCCATATGGACTACTATTCATTTTTTTTAATAAGAGTCCAAACTAAATCAGTCTAGACACAGAAAAGGTGTCAACTTATAACAGGAAACTGCTGTTTCCAGTATGCCATTAGTGGAAGGAACATTTTTCCTCTATCATACAAACGAGTAGCTTAAGAGTCAGATAAACAGATCTGAACATTCAGGGAAAGATTTTTCACGTATTTCAGACTACTTGGCAAATATGAAATGAATTCCCAGTATTGTCGTCTTCAAACTTGTCTTTTAAGTTCTTCCATGTTATATGTTACTCAGCTAAGTTAAAACCCTAAGTCATGGCAAACAGAATCGACACGCCACTGAAGAGAAGAGAGATGAGTTATAGAGGGAAACTGGTTGATAACAGTGAAATCAAAAAGTGAAAGCAGTTCATAGTAAGAGGCTACAGGACAAGGGCAACAGTGTAGGAACAGGAAGCACAAGGCCAGGAAACGGAACCACTGGCTCTAACAAAGCTGTTGAGGGTCATAGCTCCAAGTTCTGTGAGCTCCTTACACAGTCCCTGGCCCGGCACCTTCTGGAGTCAGCGCTCAAGGAGTGGCAGTGCTCAAGGAGGAGGGTGTGAAGCTCTGAGTCCTACTTTTGTCGCTGCCACTTGCTATGTGACCCTGAACAAATGACTAACCTAATCATGTGTAGGTGGAAATCGTATACCTTGTATTGTCAAGTAGTTGAAAGAATGCTTCCCAAGTACCATTGGGTATTTATTGTTTACAAATAAAACTTTTCTCATGATAGTGATTGTTTAATAATATTATTATTTTGGATTGTCTCACTTTTTTTTTTTTTTTTTTGAGTTGGAGTCCCACTCTGTTGCTCCCGGCCACCGCAGCCTCGGCCTGCTGGGCTCCGGCGATCCTTCTGCTTCAGCCTTCCAAGTAGCTGGAATTACAGGCATGCGCTGCCATGCCCGGCTGATTTTTTGATCTATTGTAGAGATGAGGTCTCGTTGCTCAGGCGGGTCTCCAACCCGCAGGCTCAGGCAATCCACTCACCTCAGCCTCCCAAAGGCGCGGGATTACAGGCTGAGCCACCGAGCCCGGCTGGATCGTCTTATTTTAAAAAGTGCTCTCTAAAGATTTGAGCATTCTCTCACTTTCTTAGAAGTATGACTCTTCCCCACGTCAACTAGTATATGGGATTTAAACTTTGGGATTACAAACTGATGGAAAACTAAAAGGAAGCACTAGAGGACTTTCCCTTTCACTGCTTGATGCTTTCTAGATTGGAGTAGGTTCATATTCACAGCAGGTTCATAGAAGGTGCTCAATAAATTTGTTTTCTCTTTCTGGGTCTTAATTCTTTTCCATTTATGCATTCAACATTTACTTACCAAACACAAGCATTGACCAAATGCTTATTACATGCAGGCACTGCTCTGAGAGGAATACGAAGATGACCATCACTCGGCCCTAGCCTCCAGGCACTCAAAATTCATAACTAACCAGCAAAACCCCCACCTCCTCACCTCTTCTCTGACCCTCTCCCTTCACCATCTTGTTTGGAACAATGCCTGGCTCGCCCCACAGAGGACAGTGCTGCCCCTCCGCCCTCCCAACTGTGCCTGTTTCTGTTGTTTCCATAGTCTTCAAATGATGGCCTGGAGGTGGGAAGGCACCTCCTTCATCTTCCTCACCACTCACACCAATTCTCCCTCTCTCCAGCTTTGAATCTCTATCCCCTACTGCTCCTCATCTTGTTATTCACCAACCACAGGGTCACTTCCCTCAGTGCTCAAAGATTTCGACTCCTTTCTCACTGTCACCCTCTGCAAAATTACTTAATTCTCGGCAGCGTTAACACGCACAGATGATCCTTCCAACTCTCTTGTCTGCTGGAACGCCACTCTTCTAGTGACCTCATCTTCAGTCCCATCCTTAGGGTCCTACTCTGGAGTGCAACCCCCGTGATCACAGTGCATGAACTGCACTCTGCCCACTCTCCGACTTGTCAGACACTCCAACCATCTGTTGACCCCACCAAGACATCAATTCATTGTTCCTCCTATCTTTTCACGTTCCCTCAGCCTTTGATGGCCTTTCGCTTTTTACCCATCTTAAATACTCATGTCAAGCACTAGAATCGCTCCCATGCGTTCACTCTGAAGCCCCAAGCAAGGGAGTTACCCTCACTGGACAAAACCATAAACCTGGAAATATCTAACTTTCCATCTGGGCTTACTCCAACCAGACTGAGCAACTCTCTGGAGAAAAATCTTCACTTACTAACTGTTTGCACGTTAAACACATGATCATGTATGCAAGAGCCCTGCAATGACTGTTTCCCTGGTCTGTTTACCCTGTGTCTCCTCAGAAGAACATTTCACACCTTTTCCTCTCTCCTCATATTCCAACAGCTCCAACCACTCTTGGCAACAACCTTGCCACTCACTTCAATAAGGAAACTGAAGCAGCTCGGGAAGAACTTTCCAGATGCCCACCATCACATCCACTCCCTGCCCTGCACCTGTACCAACAAAGCCCATTCACTGCTTCACTAAAGAGGAACGGTCCATATAGCTGCGTGATTCCAGTCCTTCATTGTGCTCCGGCCCCTAGCCAGCCCCCCAAAAGGACAGCCATCCAGCAACGCTCAGCCTCTCTCCCCATATGGTCAGTTCTCTCTCTCTGCTGATCACGCCCCTCCATTATTGCTCCTCTCTGAAAACAAACCAATCTTGACCCCTTTTTGCTAGCAGGTATAGCCCTAGTAGCTGCCCCCCTTTTCAGCAAAACTCCTCTAAAACATACTCTAGTTTCCTCATACCTTATATAAAAATTAACCCCAAATGGATCAAAGACATAGGTATAAGAGCTAAATCCATAAAACCCTTAGAAGAAACAGGAGAGTAAATCTTTATTACCTTGGATTTGACCATGGTTTCTTAGCTTTGTCACCAAATGCACAATGAACAAAAGATAAATTGGTCCTCGTCCAAATTAAAAACTTTTGTGCAAAGAACAATATCAAGAAGGTAAAAAGACAACCCAAAGGATGGGAGAAAATATTTGCAAATCATATGTCTCATAAAAGTTACCATCCAGAGTATATCAAGAACTTCTAGAATTGGGCCGAGGGGATAACAATTTCCAGCCCCCATCTTCTCTGGAGATAGCTTTGTTGCTTAATAAACTCCTTCTTTCACTCATCAAAATAAATAAATAAATAAATAAATAAAAGTTGGGCAAAGGACTTAAATAGGTTTGTCTCTGAGGAAGATACACATATTGCCAACAAACACATAAAAAGATGCTCAACATCATCAGTCATTAGGGAAATGCAAATCAGAACCACAAGGAGATACCACTTCATACCCACCAGGATGGCTACAATCAAAATAATGGAAAATAGCAAGTGCTATTAAGGAGGTAGAAAAATTGGAGCCCTCATGCATTACGAGTGGGAATGTTAAGGGGTGCCACTGCTGCAAAAAACAGTCTCGTAGTTTCTCTGTAAGTGAAATATACAATTACCATGTGACCCAACAATTCCACACCTGGATATGCACTCAAAAGAACTGAAAGCATGTGTTTGAACAAAAACTTGTACATGAATGTCCACAGCAGCACGGTCCACAATAGCCAGAAGGTAGAAACCACCCACTGTTCAGCAACTGTTGACTGGAAGAACAATAGGTAGCATATTCACACGATGCAATATTATTCAGGCATAAAGCAGAATGAAGTTCTGATACAACATGGATGAACCTTGAAAATATTATACTAAGTGAAAGAAGCAAGACAAGGTCGTGTGCCATATGACTCCATTTATATGAAATATCCAGAATAGACAATGGCAGAAAGCAGATTAGTGGTCAGAAGGACGGAGGGAGGGGACAGTTGAGAGTGACTGCTCTGGGTATGGGATTTCTTTTTGGGGTGATGAAAATGTTCTGAGAGTAAATAGTGGTGACGGTGGTACAACACTGTAAATGCACTAATGGTAAAATGTATGCTGTGTGTAATTTACCACAATCTTAAAAAATTAATTTTAAACATTATTTTTCTAAAAGAATTATCCCTACTTGTCTTCAGTTCTTCTCGTTGTTTCTTCAGCTCGCCCTTATCAGGCTTTTCTCAGCCTTGCTCCCCCATCACTGGCCCAAAGTCTCCGGTGACTTCCACACCAGCCGTGGAAGCAAATGAAGTGTCCTCAGCTCTCATCTTATTTGCTCTACTAGCAGCAGCTGATGCAACTCATCGCCTCATGTCCTTAAACACCTTTGCTCAGCCTCCGGGAGGCCGACTCTCACAGTTTCATGCTTCCTTACTGGTTATTTCTATTCACCTCTTTCCCTGGACCTCGCAATGTTGTGTGGTTCAGGGCTCAACCCTTGTTCCTCTTCCCCGCCTTGACTCGCTTCCTTGGTGATCTCATCCAGTCTGCTCTCTTTAAGGTCATCTCTGCCGACAGACTCCCAAAACACACATGTCCAGCTCAGCCCCCCTGGAACTCTACTTGCACATCCAATTCGGACTCATATCCAAATGACAACTCTGGAGCTCCGCTTGGATATCCAAAGACACACCCAACGCTTGGGGCCCCTTGCCCTGTCCTCACCCAGGTGCACCCTGCTCCACATGCAACCTTCCCTGCTCCGGTCAATGGCTAGTCCAGCCTTCTAGTTCCAGGCCCTAAACTATGGGCCTTTCCTTTTCCTTTTCCAAATCATTAGGGAGTGTTCTGGCTCTACGTATACTAAGCCCAGAAACCCACGGGCTTCTCACCTCCTCCACTACTACTAGCTTGGTCCCAGTCACCACCACCTCTCATGCGGATTAAGGTAATAGCCTTCGAAATGGTCTCCATGTTTTCTACCCTGGCTCCGTAAGTCTACACTCAACCCACAGCCAGAGCTCCCCATTCCCTTCAGAATTAAAGCCAAAGTTGCCACGTGGCCTGTAAGGTCCTACGTGGTTTGGACCCATTTGACTTCACCTCCTGTGACTCCCACTTTGATCACTCCATTCCAGTCAGTCTGTTATTCCCTATACATAGCAGGTACACTTCCATCTTAGCCTTAGCACAGGTTGTTCCCTCTGCCTAGAATGTTACTCCCCCAGATCTCCACACAGCCAAGTTTCTCACCTCCTCCAGTCCATGAAATGTCTCTTCAGTGAGACTGACCTTGACATCATATTTAAAACTGCATCTGAGTCGGGCTCGGTGGCTCAACCTGTAATCCCGTGCCTTGGGAGGCTGAGGTGAGTGGACTGCCTGAGCCCATGGGTTCCAGACCCACCTGGGCAACTTGGCGAGACCTCATCTCTACGATAAATCAAAAAATCAGCTGGGCGTGGTAGTGCGCGCCTGTAGTTCCAGCTACTTGGAAGGCTGAGGTGGAAGGATCGCTGGAGCCCAGCAGGTCGAGGCTGCGGTGGCTGGGAGCGGCCACTGCACTCCAGTCTGGGCAACAGAGCGAGACTCCAACTCAAAATAAATAATAAATAAATAAATAAAACTGTATCTGCATTGCATCCCCTCCTACAGTACTCCCGACTTCCTCTGTTGTTTTATTGCTCCTTCATGGCATTTACTACCTTCTAATACACTAGGTAATTGCTCGGTTTTTTAATATCAATGTTGAGCCTTGAGAATGACAGTTAAGAAGGTGGGATTTCTGTCTGTTTTATTCACGAATATACTCCAAGCGCACAGAACAGTGCATGATAAATAGTAGGCCCTCAATAAATATTTATCGAATGAAATATTTATTAATGATAGATTAGCTGGGACCAGGTCAAGAATAACTTATAATGCTAACTGCAAAGTTTTTGATCAAAATTATATTAAAGCCATGCACTGCTACAAATAATCTAGGTGCAGTTATAGACAGTGAAACCCCAAAAGTTCAGGATCTGAGAACTAATCTGGTTTTGAATGGGCTCCCTTTCGATGAGGCAGAAATACTGGGGAAAATATACATGTCTGAAAGAAGTACCTCTCCATAGTTTCATCTGCTGGCACCAGGGATTTGTGTAGGGTCAGCCTACCCTCCTACGATAGTGACAAGATCTAACTCAGGTTTGGGCTTCAAGGGATGACATTAAGCAGTCCTTTCAGTATGCAACAATATGAGACTATTTTGTTCAGAACCAAGAAACCTTCTACATAGGCCAGCCCAGCTCTGCACTAAGGTTTTAGTCCAAAGCTCCACTAAGAAAAGCACGACTGCATTCCATTTGTCACTGGTCATTCCATACATGCATCTTCCACAAGAACTTAATGAACTCAGGGTGAGAAGTGAAGCAGTAGTAGTTTGGGAATGACATAGGAGAGGATTCAAGTATTCTGAAGTATTCTGGGCAAATCCTATTTCAACATTAGGACAGCTTGCTCCCAACTGTCACCCAGTTCTTTCTATGAAGGCCAGGAAAATACAGTAATGCTCCTAAAACTAAGTAGCCTTGTTAGGGATTGCCAGTAGGGTCTAAACAAAGTTTGTGGCAAAGAAGAAACAGAAAGGAGGCACCATAGGAAAGATCCTATGGGAGTCAATGGAGAGAAGGAGGTTACTGAATAGATGTGGAAATTAATGAAGTAAAAAAGGCAAAGTTAGCTGGGCTCAGTGGCTCAGCCTGTAATCCCACGCCTTTGGGAGGCTGAGGTGAGTGGATTGCCTGAGCCCGCGGGTTCGAGACCCACCTGGGCAGCGAGACCTCATCTCTACAATAAATCAAAAAATCGGCCAGGCGTGGTAGCGCATGCGTAATTCCGGCTACTTGGAAGGCTGAGGCGGAAGGATCGCCAGAGCCCAGCAGGTCGAGGCTGCGGTGGCCGGGGGCGGCCACTGCACTCCAGTCTGGGCGACAAAGTGAGACTCCAACTCAAAAAAAAAAAAGGCAAAGATGACAACGAGCCCTGATCTGATGAAAGCCTCTTTGGAAGACCTTTTTTTTTTTTTTAAATCAGCATATAGAAAACACACATGAAAAACCACAAAGAAATAAAAAGCATATCGGTAATAATTCGATCATTTTTTTCAGTTTGCTGTATTTATAAAGTAAAATTGCGAGATCATCATTCTGCAAAAAATATGACCATGACATAATCTTATGCAAAGATATTTGCGTAGTTTTGCTCGGCAGTCAAATGAACATTTATATGTAAATTATAAATTTTTATATATTATAAACACATAAGCATAAATGCATACACCAAACATTTCTACTTACAATGATACCAGGAGAATGGACTTTTCATGTACTTGGAAAGAAAATAAAAAGAATGATAGTGCACAGCTAACCTTTAAGAAAAAAAGGGGAAAAATGAGATATAACAACTTGCAAAATATAGTACCAAGTTAATTATGAATCTAAACAAAAATCATTTCAAATGAAAGTTGAAAGTTAACTACAGCTTTTATCTAGAAGTAAAACATACACACAATACTAATATACATATTTTAATCAAATTGAAAAATTCAAATATTTTTTAAAAAAACAATGATTATAAAATTTTACTTAACCATGTAAAACAAGTTCACTGACACTCAGTTATTAACACACAAAAGTACTAAAAACCTCAGACACAACAATGACACTTACATCCTCCCTTGGAATCTCTGACAATTTAAATTTAAAAGCATGAAGAACAAGAAGGTAAAAATCTACAAATGGCAAAACAAATCTATGTCAGTGTTTTTAAAATGTACAACTTCAATAAAATGTATTAAATGTTTTATAAATTCGTGACTTGCTATTGGGGTTTTAAATTAAAAAGTCCCCAGCACTTGAGCCTACTCAGACCTATCTTTAGAAGTTTATATTCTGCATATTAAACCTATGTATATACATCTTCCAAGGATGCTTGTTGCTCAAGCAGAAAACCTGAATTATCATCTTGTTCATGCTATGTACTTCCGACCCCTCAGCAAATCCTATCTGCATCACCTCCTGAGTATAACATCCATCCATTTCTCTCCACTCTCCTCTGCTGATGGTGGCGGAGGAGTGGTCTAAGCCACCCCTCTTTCCCTTGGGGTAGTGCAATCACCCCCTACCAGTAACATTTTTGACCCTTACAGTCCATTCTCCAACAGCCGCCAGAGCAGACGACAGAGAATCCCAGTTGAAAATCCTCCCCTAGCTTCCCATTACACTTAGAACAGAATCCACACTCCCACAGGACCTGGCTCTTCCTCTTTCAGTCCCTCTCTTGCTGGCACCCTCGCTCACGTCACACCAGCCACACTTGGCCAGATGTGGTCCTGCCTTAAGGAAACTTAGATTTTATCAAGTTAGGGCCCAGATCTTGTGAAAGGCTCCTTTTGGTTGATCACTCACTATTGGCTCAAATGCCACTTCTCTAGAAAGGCTTCCCTTACTCAGTCTCAAGTAGTGTGCCCTAACCCTAACCCATCACCTCTCTTCTCACATGACAATACTTTTTTCACAGGACTCATTGCTCCCAGATACATTGTTAATGGATTTATTTTGTTTACTGTCCATCTCCTGCCACTAGCATGAAAGGCCCCAAGTAAGATAGAGGGCTATTATCTGACCTGGAGGAGGAGAACCTGGTCTATTAGAGGGCACTCAATAAATATAAATCATGTTGCTGCGGTAGATATATTAATATTCATAGTCTCAATTAACTCAATTACAGATTTATATTCAGATATAATTCCAGATATAATTCAACCAGACTTAATTGAAAGGAAAACACTTTTAAAATATTTATAATGGGAAATGCTTCTAAAGGTCTTGGAAATACACAATAAGAATTCAAAGCATTATTAACAAAAACAAAAAACAAAAATCTTAAACTTTTAACACAATGGCTTGTTTTAAAACTTAGCAAATGGAAAGAGTATTTTTTTCTGGCTTACAATCCTAAAAGTAATCGTCTCTAACACTACTAAAGTTACTCAAACTCTGGCCAGGCAAAGTGGCTCATGCCTGTAATCCCTGCACTTTGGGAGGCTGAGAAAGGAGGACTGTTTGAGACCAGCCTGAGCAACATAGTGAGACATCGTTTCTACAAAAATTTTAAAAATTAGCCAGGTGTGGCGGTGTGCACCTGTTGTTCCAGCTACTTGAGAGGCTGAGGCCAAAGGATTGCCTGAGCCCAGAAGGTTGAGGCTGCAGTAAGCTGTGATCGTGCCACTGTACTCCAGCCTGGGTGACAGAGTGAGACTCAAACAAAAAAACTCAAACTCAAACAAAAAAAAAAAGAAAAAGCTACTCAAACTCTGAAATTCTATTCCATTACCTTTGAAGTATACCTGTATTTGTATGTGATTTCCCAGAAAAATAACAATCTATCATAACTTGAAGAATATTTCAAGTTAAACGGACTGAAGACATCAGAGCATTACTAACCATGCCCATCCTTTTCTAAATGTCCTATAGAATATTAACAATAGATGACTTGGTATGTTCAGATATCATTCACAGACTGCAAAAACAGAAATCATCAATAAAAAGTTAACAGAAAAGAAAAAGGAATACAAAACTATCTTTTTGGCATTGTGGTACAGAGACACTTTTGAAATATTCCACTTTTCTGTTCTGTTCTGGCTTGTTTTGGGAATGCAGCATACGTGAGTGGCAGTCCCAGAACCGGAACCGTAATTTCTAAAATGCTGTCCTTTTATATATCTACTAGAACTTACTGGTCTCATAAACTAAATGTCCTTGATACGTTTTTTGTTAATTTATAGAGACAGGGTCTCATTATGTTGCCCAGGTTGGGCTCAAGTAATCCTTCCATCTCAACCTCCCAAAATGCTGGAATTACAGGCATGCGCAATCATGTCTGGCCATTCTTGATAAATTAAAAGGTATTTTTTAAATGTAATTTTATAAACCAAGGCACACAGGAATAAACTTTAAACACCACAGAAATACAACCAGGAGGAATTTGCAGATCCACTCAGAAAAACCTTAAACTATACGCCCAATCCATCTTCACAATGACACAACAGTCATTGTGTTGACGGCCCCCTTCCCTTCTCAAAAACCTTTTTTGTCTCCTCTTGCACAAATCAAACTCCAAACCTTTCAACCAAACACTCAAGGTCATCTATAATTTGGTCCTTCTCGACCCATATCTCTCACACACACAAAAACCACACAAATTGTATTGTTTAATAACTGTTCCAGGAACATTCCCTGTCCTTTCCCACCTCTATACCTTCAAGTTCTTCCTCCTGTCTTGAATTTCTCTTCTGCTATGTAACTTCCTGTTCTAAATCCTGCCCAGCTTTCAAAATTTGACTCAAATCCCACTTGTTCTAAACAGCATTCTAGAATCTTCTTTCCCACACTTAAGACATCATTTGTAACTGACAGAACTTAATACCATTTGCTTTACAGCATAATTATTTAAATACGTATTTATCGCCACTGTTTTCTTCTTTGCATTCCTTCATTAACTAACACGAAAAAGAAATTAAATGGTTGTTGAATTAAACAGAAAGATTCTGATTGCTTAGCCTAATGTTCAACATAACATCTAAGTATGGGAAACACTCAATAAATGTTTGCAAAATAAATGAGTGTCTTATTTACTAATCAAATGAATCTTGTTCACAGCAAGAAAATAACACTTAAAAGATCAGTTGTAGCAAGAACTGAGTATCTAAACCAATGGAAAACTTACCAGTGTAAATCTGAATCCTTTGGGAGAGGGCTGAAGTAGTAATTTTATACATGCAGGAAGCAGGCTCAAAAATGTAAAGAAAAAGCTAAAAAAGTTAATAAAAATATTTATTTTCTTTATAGAGTATAAATCTAGTTACAATGAAAATTTTTTTAAATGTAAGGATCACGTTATTTATCAACTTAGTTGATTTCAAATTATAGTTTAATTTTATTTATTAAATTTAAATTAATACCAAATGACATTTAAATAAAGTTTATGCACTGAAATATGTAAACACTCTTATACATGATTATATAATACAGACTAAACAACATAATAGTAAATATTGCTTCTGTATGTTAGTATTTAATACCATATATAGAAAAGATACAAAGATATATAGTTGAAGATCAATTATCAAACACAAAATAAGAAAAAGCAAGGTACAAGAAACACTGGTATATTTGTTTTGTTTTTTTGTGTGTCAGAGTCTCACTCTGTCACCCAGGCTAGAGGGCAGTGGCATGCTCCCGGCCACTGCAGCCTTGACCTGCTGGGCTCAGGTGATCCTTCCGCCTCAGCCTTCCAAGTAGCTGGAACTACAGGCACGTGCCACCATGCCCGGCTAATTTTTTGGTTGCTCAGGCTGGTCTCGAACCCGCGAGCTCAAGCAATCCTCTCACTTTGGCCTCCCAAAGTGCTGGGATTATAGGCATGAGCCACCGCGCCTGGCCTGACAATGGTATATTTGTAACACAAATATTCATAAACTTTACTCACATAAGAGTCTCTCAGCTGGGCTTCGTGGCTCAGCCTATAATCCCGTGCTTTGGGAGGCTGAGGTGAGTGGACTGCCTGAGCCCGCGGGTTCGAGACCCGCCTGGGCAACTTGGCAAGACCTCATCTCTACAATAAATCAAAAATTAACCGGGCCTGGTAGTGTGTGCCTGTAGTTCCAGCTTCTTGGAAGGCTGAGGCGGAAGGATCGCTGAACCTAGCAGGTCAAGGCTACAGTGGCCGGAAGCGGCCACTGCACTTCAGCCTGGGCGACAGAGTGAGACTTCAACTCAAAAAAAAAAAAAGAGTTTCTCTGGCCCTCGTTTCAAGAAAGTTAATTATCTGATTTTTTTTTTTTTTTTTAGGGTGGACCGAGCCGGGCTCGGTGGCTCAGCCTGTAATCCCGCGCCTTTGGGAGGTTGAGGTGAGTGGATTGCCTGAGCCCGTGGGTTCGAGACCCGCCTGGGCAGCGAGACCTCATCTCTACAATAAATAAAAAAAATCAGCCGGGCATG